TGCAAAACCAGAAGGAGATGCTGGTGGCTGTGTGAAAGCCCCGATGATCTCAACCAGCTGGTGGTAGTGGGAGAGGAGGTAAAGGGGGGTTAGTTTCTAAGTTAGTTTTGGAGCTAGAGGCTGCAGACTGGATGTAAGGGATGTGACAGGGAAGGGTTAAGAACAACTGCAAAGTGTTTGGCCTGAGTGACCAGAAGGATGGAGATGGGAAGACTTGTGGGAGGAGGTTTGGGGAGGAAGGTGCCTGTTGGATATGCAGGTGGAAATGCTGACTGATACAGATGAGTCCGCAGGTAGGTGAAGGGGTCCAGCCTGGAGTGCCGAGTGTGTAGGTGGGAATGAGCCCTGACGAGCCTGGATAAGCTATCTTCTAGGAAGAGGTAGGGAAGTTGTTAAGTCTGAGTTCTTTGGTTACAAGTCAGGGAGTTGAGAGAGCAGCTCAGCAGACAGGGAGGGAGAAGGAAAAGCAGGAGAGCCTGGCACCTGGAAGGCAAGTGAAGACGGGGTGTGGTGCGGTCAGCTCTGCCAGCAAGCCGCTCTAGGTTAGGCTCAGATGAAGGTTGAGAATCAACCACTGGATCTTGCTGTGTGGAAGCCCCTGATGATTTCAACCAGAGCAATTTCAAGTGGGGTAGGGTGGAGGGGACAAAGTGATTGGAGTGGGTTCTAATGAGAGTGGGGGAGGAGGAGAAGAGAGAAGAAATACGAAGAAAGGGCCTTGCCAGGGGTCAGATGGCAAGTTGGGGCCAGACCCTGGGCCAGAAGCTCAGTCTCCTCTCAGGCCAGGCTCCTGTGTGCATGTGGAAAGTAAGACCCTGTTCTCACTCTTGAAAGTCTCCTGGCCCCGGGCAACATCCCCCCACCCCTTGTCCTGGTGGTCTGTTCTAAGTAAGGAAGCCCTGAGTCCCTAATTGAGAAATATCATTACTGTAGCCAGGGGGCGGGTCTGCTCTGGGTTCCCCCGCTTGAGATCTGTAACATGAAGCCTTGTTTTAGGCAATTCTTCCTCTGCCTACCTAAAAGCTTTCCAATTTCAACTCCAAGAGCCAAGTCTGAGGATGCTGACTTTGAATTTGGTCTGATTTCTCCTATTCTCAAATTATCCTCTTAGGCTGGTCAAGACTTACATGGTTGTTGAGACATCTCTTCTTAACGCTGTCCCTCCCAGAGGCTTGGTTTGAGCAGAGAAACTTTTTTAAGTGCCTGGAGAAGTGACCGGTTCCCTCCCTATCCCTAAGATTGGGCTGTAAGGAGACCCCATTTTCATGAGATGGGGTGGGGGCGCGGGGCGGGATGCAGCAAGACCAGGCTGGCTCCGGTTGGGTGAGGAGGCTAACTCAAGGCTCTGGCCTGCTTGCAGTTGTTGGGCCACTCCGCACATGGCCGTCAGCGCCCATTTCTGCTGGGCTCTGGGCAGGACTCCCTGGGAGGGCTGACTCGGCAGTCGGCTCCCCCTTCTCAGAGCTCATAATGTACTTAGGGTGTTAGTTGGATGTGCATCTGCTGCGCCCAGAGATGACCTGCACGGCCAGCAGCACGACACTTCGGCCTGGGGGCTCCACGAGGACAGTGGTCCATCGGGCTGACACGTCCTTAGTCTCTGGTACCCAGCCCAACCTTGGAAGTCCTGGGGCCTGGCCCAGCCTTGTTGCAACAACTGCAACAACTGTGGCGAGGCCTCGGAGTGGTGTCAGAACAAGACCCCCTTGGGGCCATCTGGGTTCTAGTCCCCACCTGGGCTGCTCTCTGCTTACAGCGATTCCCATGTGCCGCTCTTTCCACCCGCAGATCTGCCCTCTAGCCCCGTGGACCTGGTGATCAACTGCCTGGACTGCCCCGAGAATGCCTTCCTGCGGGACCAGCCTTGGTACAAGGCAGCGGTGGCCTGGGCCAACCGGAACCGGGCGCCGGTGCTCAGCATCGACCCGCCCGTGCATGAAGGCGAACAGGGTATCGACGCCAAGTGGTCGCTGGCTCTGGGCCTGCCTCTGCCGCTGGGGGAGCGTGCGGGCCGCATCTACCTGTGTGACATCGGCCTCCCCCAGCAGGTGTTCCAGGAGGTGGGCATCAGCTACCACTCACCCTTTGGCTGCAAGTTCGTCATTCCATTGCACTCTGCCTAGAGGGGCTCTGGGCTAGTTGGACCCTGCAGTCCCCTGCTGCTCCGGACACACTGAACTTGACAACGAACGCCTTAAGGATGTGAAGCTTCATGGACCTTGTTAAATTTTTTCGCTTTTGGATTTGTTTCTTCTGTGAGAGAACAGATCATATTTAAAAATGACCTGTCACCTGCCCATAGCCGAGGAAGGCTTTCCCACTGGGTGTCCTGGGTGGGTGGCAGGCTGAGTGGCTCTCAACATCTCTACACTTGGCCCCCTGCGTGGCTGGGTGGGGCTTTGTTTACAGACTTAGGCAGCTCACGGACCGAGTTTCAGGTTTACAGTCACTGGGGCCTGGGCCAGCACCTTGCGGGGTCGGGTGGGTCCTGTTTGGGGGCCTGTTCTTGCTCTGGCTCCGGGTCCTCTGCCCCCCGCCCCCGCTCCGGGCGGCCTTTCCCCTGATCATGTCGAACCGGCTGTGCTGCAGCTGCCGCCAGAGGGCAGACTTGCACTCCGTTCATTTTTGAGGGCTTTGGGGAGGCCTTCCCAGAGCCCCACCACAAGTTGATTTGGGGACTGTTGACCCTTTCTCCTGAGCTGATGCAAGTTTTATGCTGGGATTTTTTTCAAGGGTCCTTCTTCCTTTCCACTCCATCACTCTGAGACGCAGGGAAGGGGGTGGCATCAGGATGGTTTTACTGTATTGGGATTTTATACTGTTTCTCTGTTTTCAGCATAGGTAGTACGAGATTATGTTACTATAGAACCACAGTGCCCATCTTGCCAGCAGTGCCCCCAGCCCCATACCCTCTCTGGCTGGGGGCAGAGCCTTTGCCTAGTCTGGGGCCAGAGCCCTCAGGGTGCAGCTTTAATGTTCAGTATTGGGGAGGTCCCTGGGGGAGCCTGGTGCTGAGCCAGAAGAGGCTCCCTGGTGCTTCTGTCTTAGGCCACCACTACCCCGCTCCCATCTCCTTGCCTGCCTGTATACCCCCCTTTCTTATGCCCCCCCCGTCTCTTTTCCCTGAAACGGTCTTTTGCAGCTGTCGTCCCAGAGCAGGGCGCATGTCCCTCTCGTCTGGGCCCCACCCCAGTTCTTACAATGTCTGGGCATTGAACCCTTTATGGTTGTCCACTCTAGATGAGTACGCTTGGGGCCAGCGCCCTATCTCAAAAGATGCCAAAATGAGGCTAGTTCTAGATGAGCCAGCTGGCGGGGCTCAGCCATAGGAGCATACTGCTGCTCAGATCCTAAGGCAGGAAAGCCCTTGGACCTCATAGGCTTAGACCTTGGAGGCTGGTTTCAGAACAGGAGCCATGCCCTGGAGTCCCTGGCAGGGGCCAGGCCTTCAGGCTTACCTTCTGCTCTCTGCCCACCCGCTCTGCTTAGGGGGGTGAGTGGGAGGGCTCGCCAAGGATCACGGACACAGGGTCGGTCCTGCTACCATGGGCTTCGGGCTACTTAACGCTTTTCTTATAGGAACATAGCCAGGAGCAGATGAGGCAGGGCAGAGGGCTGGTCCCTCCTTCCCTCCCGTCCTCCCTCAAATGTTCAATTGTCTCCAGCAGTGGGAGGAGGCCAGAGATTGTGAGCCTTGTTGTGTGTACCCTCCCTGAGCCTCTGCTCACTCTCAGGGCCAAGAAGCTCCCAAGATAGAGCCCTCTCTCTAGGGGCAGGGTCACAGTCTGCGGAGCAGTGCTGGGTTATAGGCATTTTAGTAAGCAACCATTAAACGGTTTCTGGGTGCCTGCCTGTTCGTGCAGTAAGGTCCCCCGCTTGGGCACGGTGGAAGAGGAGCTTGAGGAGCCCTGGCTCAGCAGACTCTGATTGATCCGGTAAGTTGCAGTGGTGCTGCAGGGGGTGGGCCTTGTTGAGGGGCCACTGGGAGGTCGTGCCCAAGCCTGTCTTCTCCCTGTGGGTGGCTCTGGAGCCTCTTCCTGCCCTTAGCCTGGGCCTTCCCCGGGCCTGTTAAAGATCAGCATGATTCCTCTACCTTCAGCTCGTTTCAGAGGCATCCTGCCCGCCCCCCCAGTCCCCAGGGAGCCCCAGTCAGGTGGTCAGGACCATCACCCATGCAGCTCTTGGGGAACCAAAAACCAGCACTTAAAATAAAGCTGAATGACAAGAGTCCTGGGCTCTAGTAAATTGCTGTGCGGGCCGCAGTGAGGTGCCGCGCCCCCCCCCACCCCCAGCCCCAGGAGCCCAGCTTGGTTGGCTCACGGTCGCCAGCCTTCAGTTGGCCGCAGTTCTCGGGCACGTGCAGCCTGAAGTGGCAGTCGGTGATGGGGCCAGGAGAGGTGAAACTATATGCTGCCAGGCTAGGCCCGGTCGGCCCTTTGCCTTAGGTTCCGTGGGGCCTAGGGGAACCGGTGCCTTCCAGCAGGCCTGCCACCTCCGGGCTCTTCTCTGGGGCCCAGAGGGCCACCCGGCATCTATCTTGTCACTGGCTAGCCCTTCCGTGCCAGCCTAGTTCACACTTAGCTCTCCACAAGCTGAACTGCTAAGAAAGACTTTATTAATAAGGTAGGGGGAGGGGAAGGCAAGGAGCCTGGAGACGGACACACCGGTACCAGGGGTTACAAACAGTAAGAAACACTTTATTATAACTTTACAACATATAAATAGCTTGGGTCAAATCTGTGCTTTCTGGCAGCTGGGCATCAAGTCTCGTCCCCTGCAGGCTCCGGCCTTCCTTCACATTGCACTGTTCGCTGGGTGGCTCTGGCCCTGAGGCCTGGTGGTGGAAGTTGGAGAGAAGGCCGGGCAGCCCAGTCCTGCGCTCCAGCTCGTGGGGGGGAGGGGGGGCTACGCCTGTCATCTGCTTGGGTTGCGGCTGGTGTGGAAGGACCGCTCCTCAGGGGTCAGGCCAGCAAAGAAGGGGTGCAGCAGGGCCTCCGCCAGTGTGATGCGCTGGGCAGGGTCAAATTCTAACATCCTCCTCATCAGGTCAAACAGCTGCACGTGCTCCAAGGAGTCCTGGAGCATGTAACTCTGCTCAGGGACACAAGGTGCCTCAGTGTGATGGCAGGGTCGTGGGAAGCCACAGCAGGTCCCTGTGCCTCTGGGAAGCCTTGCTGCAATGGGCTGAGGAGGCAGTGCTGCCTCCCTGGAGGACTACTTCTGCCCTCCTGGACAGTGAGCCGCTCCTTTTCCTCTCATGCCTGCGTAGAGCGTTTGGCTCTGAACTTGTCAGGCTACTGGGTGGTCTTGCTGGCTCGGTGCCTCTGCCCCCGCATGCAAAGTCCTGACAGGTGGGTAGAATCACCTCTGCAGAATTCACTTGTCCGGGCACCAAATGCAGTTGACAGGCTCTCTGGCCAGGTCTATGTCTTCCCTCCCCCTCACCTCAGTCCTGCCTAGTTCTTCCCAAAACTGAGAGAAGAGGGGGGACAGGAAGCAGCAGGGTCTCTGACATCTGGCTCTTCTGGTGTTCCCCCATTACATCCATAGCCACCCTGTGGGGAAGGGGCGGGGCTAAGGGCCCCTCGGGGGCGGTGTGCAAGCAGCCCCACAGCCGGCCGGCACCCAGCAGCCTCGGTGTGGCCTCCCATAGAGCTGGAGCGAGGAGGCAGCCTTTAGCTGCCTGGCCTGTCTCTGCTGTATGTCTGCCCAGTGCCTGGGGTCTCCTTGGCATGAGTTGAGCTGGGGGAAGCCAGAAACTGACCTTCAGAGGTTTGCAGTTCTCCTTCACATACCGGCCATCAGAGCTGTTCTCATCCCACACCAGGCCCCCTTTGTAGAAATATTTCTGTTTCCTGAAAGCAAAGGAAAGGAAGGGGTCAAGCGCTAGGGGTGGCAGGGGGAGATGTGTCTTGGGTGGGGGCTGGGGGGCAGACAGCGGCAGTCTGGGGGCTGGCCCGGTGCAGCAGGGCGGGAAGGTCTGGGCAAGTGGTCTGCCAGGTCACTCGGAGTAGGGGACAGGAGGGAAGGCTTCTAGGAGCCCCGAGGGCACCAGCAGGGCTCCTTACCTGGTACGGTGGATCATGTGTGATGGGATGGGCCCTAGGATCTTCTCCATCATCACCAAATGTTCTCGGTTTTCATGGGTCTATTGGAACGGCAGGGATAGAGCAAGCAGGGGTCAGTACCAGCCTCTGGCCCCTCAAAAAAAATAAGGGACACTCCTTGCCCCCAAGAGATGTGAACCCACCAGTGAACAGTAGTCCCAGCCTCTGACCTGGTGGCCAGCCTGTTCGCTCAAGGTCAAGTGCACGCTCCCTAACCTCTCGGGTGGACTTGTCCATCACTGCACCTCTCTCCAGTGACTTCCCTTACTCTTCCCAGAATGTGCCCCTGCCCGGCCCCTCTCTGCACCCTCCCTCAGGCTGTGCCCCTTGCCTCAAATGTTCACTCCTCCTGCCCTGAGAGCCCCACTGCCCCAACCTCAGGAGCCCGAGAGTGCCAGCGTGCTGCCCGAGGGGGGCGGGGGGCGGTCACAGGGCTCCCCATGCCAGCCCCTGTAGCCCGCCCGAGGAGCAGCGCTCAGGCGCGCCGCATGCTGTGGGAGGCCTCAGCCTTACCTGGAAGAGCGTGAAGCCCCGGTAGTACTCGAAGAGAATGCAGCCAATGCTCCAGACGTCGCACGGCTGTGCCCAGCCCAGCTCTGAAAGCCAACGTGGGGGGGAGACCGTGAGACTCAGCCCTGGGCTCCCAGCCCAGATGTCAAAGGACAGCTGCCGCTCTGGCGAGGCGGGGTTCTTGCCCAAACCCCAACAGAAGACCCTTTCTGTGTAGGGCCAAGTGAGCCACCACAGTGTGACACCGGCCCCCGGGGGCAGGTGCATCCCCGCCTGTAGTTCTACCCTCCTGACAGTGGTCCGCTTTATCGGGTGGCGGCTATCCAGTCACTCACCAAGGATCACCTCAGGTGGGCGATAGTGACGGGTGGCCACAATGGTCGTGTGATGCTCGTGGTCAAAGGTAGCACTGCCGAAGTCAGCTACCCGGATGCTGGTGTTCTTCACCGACTTCTCCTCACAGCTCTGACAGGCAAGGAAGCCAGGTCAGGAGTCTGGCCCGGCGGGGGACCCACCCCAGGGCGTGGCCCTGCCCTCTCCCGGCCCATACCTTGTGCTCATTGTAGAGGGTTTCAAACTCCGAATTCACAAACAAGATGTTCTCTGGCTTCAAGTCTGTGTGGGTCAGCTGGTTTTCATGTAGAACTGGGGAAGCAGGAAGGACAGAAGCAGAACCTTGAGAACCCCGGCTGCTTCTCAGGCCCCTCTGCCAGCACTGGGCCAGATTTCACCTCTACAGCTGGCCTGCCGGCGACCCTCGCACCCCCGACCCCCGCAGGGGGCCCGGGGAGCAGAGCGGTCTCTGCCTCCACACTGGCTTCCCTCTCACGTTCTTGGTGCTTGGGGCCTTGGCTGGGTCTGATACTTTACAAAAGGGGCAGGGGATGCTTTTCCCATTTAGAACAGCTCCTCAAGTCTCTCCCGGAGGCTGCAGCATCAGCCTGGGAAGGCTCCCTCTCCCCAGCACCAGCTACATTATTTGTGGGTCCGGGGCAAAATGAAAATGCAGGTCCCCTTTTTCAGAAGTTTCAAAGAATGTTAAGATAGCAACAATAGAACACTGAACTAAAATAATAACCACAGGGCCACCCCTGAAGCCAGCCCTGCCTCTTTCCATCCCTCAGCCTGGGAGGAGACCTCTACCTTTCTCCTCCGGTCCCCGCCCCACCCATGGTGGCACCCGGCTGCCACCTAGCACCTTCTGGCTCCAAGCTCCCAGCTGGTGGTCAAGACCTTCCCCGAGGTGTGACGCACCTCTCCCCAGCAACGGGCCCTCTCTTCCTCTGAGTTTCAGCACGTGCTGGAGTCTGGGCCCTCACTGAGCAGCTCCCCTCGCTGGGAGTGCTCGTCCCTGCTCCCTCCATCCGTGCAGACCCCGGACAGCCTAGCTCTAGGCCTATCTACCTCCTCTCCAAGGAACCTCTGCCCTGCGCATACCACCACATCCTGCGGTGCGCGGCACATGCACCTCCAAAGGAGGCTCCGAAAGGCCAGCAGGCAGATGGGAAGGGACGGTCGGGTGGAGGGTCTGTGTGGGCAGCGCCTGGGGCTGGGATCTACCAGTCAGCCTTCAACCTTTCCATCCTCTGCAGGACGGCGAGCTGGGCAGATTCTGGAGCACTCTCTCCTTTCTTCCTGAGTGCCCGGGGCATAGGCGGGCTCAGGCGCCCCTAGAGGCGACCGAAGCCTCTCCCTCCTCCCAGAGAGTCCTCCCTGAAAGCCTTTCAGCCCAAGGGGACCCGGCGCCTCTTGGGCCGGGCATGATGGTCGGCAGCGTGCTGGTGTGCACGGGGGAGTGGTGGTGCGCACACTTACATCGGAGGGCGTGGCAGAGCTGGTAGGCCATGTGCCGGACGTGCGGCAGGGGGTAAGGCTGGAAATTATTCTCCTTCAGGAACTCAAAGGTGTTCTTGCCCAGGAGCTCAAAGGCGATGCACATGTGACCGTGGAAGTTGAACCAGTCAGACATCAAGACACACAGGCTAGAGGAGAATGATGGGGGTGGGGGGGGGGGGGGGGCTCAGTCTCTGCTGGGGGGCTGGCTCCCCGCCCCTCCCTCAGGTGAAGCCGGTCCCCGTTCCCAGGCCCCTGGGTCACACGTGCTCCTGAAAAAAAACCATCGGTTACAGACAAGGAGCACGTCTCCCACCGGAGGTCACCCAGATCAGCTCAGGGGAGGACTAAACCGCCTCCTACTGCCACAGGGGGAGGCTGGTCCGAGGGGTCCTGCCCTGTCGACTTATGACACGGCCATAGTCCCTGCGCCTCAGAAAGAGATGGAATCGTGCCTTTCTTTCTCCAGCTCCTGGAACTGAGCTTCCTGAGCCCGCACGGCTTGCACGGGGCTGGCGGGAGAGGAGCTGCTCAGCGCACGCGTGCGAGCCCCAGCAGCTTCGGGGCTGCGTCTCGTCTGACCCCCACCCAGGACCCCCGCTGTGAGCCACGAGGCCCCTATTTACGGAAGCGGGCCTGGGAGTCGGCCTCAGCGCACACCACACAATGGCTGGGGTGGAGCCTGCCCTGCAACCCGAAGGCTCCTCTGGCAGGGCCCACTGGGCCACCTGTCCTGGCTCTGGGCCCGGCCGCCCGGCCCTGTGCGTCAGGAGAAGGCCTGGCGCCAACCAGGTGAGAGAACATGGCTCCGCCAGGGGGTCTAGGCAGTTGGGGCCGGAGCGGACACCATCCCCGCCGAGAGCTTCCCTCTGGTTCCCTGTGACACTCACAACTTGTTCTCTTTATCCTTCTCCTTGATTTTTTTGAGAACGTTGATTTCTAGCCGGGCGGCCTCCCGGTACTTGCCCACGTTGCGGATGATCTTCAGGGCAACCTGAGACTTCCCTCTGGGATCCGGGAAGGAAGCAGCGGTTCTCAGGAGAAGGGCCCCTGCCCTTCTCCCCCCACCCTCCACCCCGATCTGGCAACTCCTGGCAAACACCATTCAGGAGTCCGGGAACAGGAGTTCCTGGTGTCTGGCGAGCGCAGACACCTGCCCCCCAGCCTGCCCCCCGGTGACGCCACACCTCCACTCTCCCAGCAGCAAGCTCCCCTGGCGTCTCTGAGTTAGCGTGTTGGGGCCAGCCTGGCCTTATCTGATGCCAGCCACTGCCAGCTCCCGGGAGACTGCGCAGAGGAGTAGAGGCCTAGCCCGCCTGCCAGCACCGGAACCAGCTCACTCAGTAACCCGACCTGTAGGCCAGTCAGCCCTGACCCTGGCCAGGCCATCCCAGCCAGAACCTTCTCGCAGCACCTCTTGACCTTCCTAAAGCACATCTCCAGGTCTGGGCAAACAGCGCCCCCTGGGGTGGGGGTTCCACGATGGGACGAAGCCTTGGTAAGAGGGTAAGGGTGCCAGCAATAGGGTCTTCTCGCCGCGAGTCCCCGGGGCGCTCCCTTTACTACACTTCCTCTAGCCCCCCCCAGCCTGCTTAGCAACCAGCCACAGCACGTATCAGAGACCACCGAGTGCCGGGAGGCCTCTTCAGTGTCAGTGAGGATTTTAAAGAATTCCTGGCTCTGCGCTTCCCATCTGCCAGCCCCGCCCCATAGGCCACCTCCAGGGTGCCAGCAGAGCAGGGAACGTGCTGAGGTTCAACTGCCAGGCCTGGCGGCTATTGGGAAGGGCCAGCCAGACTTTAGAAGCCCAGTGGGGAACTAGAGTGAGACAGCCCTGGCCCATAAGGATGTGGCTCCTTAAGGCCTCCGGGAGGCTGGCCTTGGTGCCTAAGGAAAAGGCTCACAGGCCCCAGGGCAGAGGCATCTTCTGGAGAATACCCTTGTTTTTCTCTCCCTCTCCCATTTTCCCAGATTTTCAGGGCAGAGAAAGACCTCAGAGGAAAGGCCACCTGCTCCAGGCTCCCTCAATGGCGTTCTGATCTTCAACACAGGGAGCTCGTCACTCCCATGGGCAGCCACCACCAGGGTTGGATGGCTGAGGATCAGGCCCTTTTGCCGAAGTGAAATTTACCCCCTCATAACCACTCCTCTGGCCAACTCCCTCTGGACCCCCTAAATGTCCCCCGAGCCTTGTGCCTGCCCCTCAGTGACTTCAGAGGCTCACTGCCCCTCCAGCTACTCGGGGGCACGGCCCAGAGAGCTTAGCTGCCCCTGTGTGTCACAGCTTGCAGGTCTGCCTCCTGTCTCTCTGGTCCCAGTGCGGTCTACACGTCCCCATGCCCACTGGCCCCAGCCCTAACCTGGTGGGCCACACTGGGTCCGAGGGGTGGGAACTGGGAGCCCAGGGAGATTTCCTGTCAGTCACTGTCACTACCTTATATGGAAGCCACAGAGCTAGCTGGATGGCTAGGTCCAACTCTTTCTGAGCACCCCGTACAGTGGTACTCAGTGCCAGCACTCAACACCTGGGGGGTATGGGTCAGATCTCTTCACCTCTAACACAGTGGAAAGGTTGTGATGGGTGGCATGTGGCTCAAATGACACAACAAGGACACGAACACCTGGTAGCTAAAGCACCAGACCAGTGAGAGTGCCATTAGAAGAGGGAGGCAGCGGGCTCCCAGGAGGCAGCCTTCCAGCCTAAGGTAGAGGGGCACGAGTTCTGGTCTGGAGGAATGGCGAGGGGACAAGAGCATGTCACCATGCAGCCTGGAAGGCAGCAAGACTCCCCAGAAGCACCAAACACACACAGATAGAGCCCTGTTCTACCTGCGCACTCAGAGGGACCTGCAATCAAGCCTGGCCACGTGGGAGAAGGTGGCGGCCGGCTAAGTCAGAGAGCCCGAGTCCTGTTCCTCTCAACCGGGCCGCGCACAGCCTCTCAGGCAGACCTCCCGAGCGGGGTAGGGGGGGCTCGGGCTTGGTCTGGGCTCAGCAGTATTCCCAACCCCCACGCAGGCCCAACCCGCCATGAGATGGCAGGAAGCGGACCCGGACCACTGAAGAGCCGGGGCCTCGGCCGTGTGCCCCACAGCCACCACCACAGCCCCGGGGGCCCGAGGGGCTGCCAGGGCAGCGCCCCTTGCCAGCCAACAGTTCGTGGGCAGGGAGGCCACATGCCTGCGGAGCCCCGGGAATTTCTTCCTATTTCAGGGGATTAGCAGAAGCCCAGCACGCCCAGGCCAGCACCCTATGGCGTGACCCTTTGGAAAGCCATGGGAGAGGCTCTGACGCCCACCGCCCTCAGGAACCGCAGGCTGGCTCTGCCCAGGAGGACCGCTCACCTGGCGTGGTCCAAGCACTCCACCACCTTGCCGAACGTGCCTTCGCCCAGGTTCCCCACGATCTCATCTAGGAGAGAAAAGAAGCAGGGCATGAGGGCCTGGAGGGCAGACGGCCGGCAGCTCCTGCAAGTTCACAGCATTCAAATTCTCAAAAACAAAAAAGGTTTCTCTCTCACGGCTACGCTCTTAAAAACAGAAGTTGCTAGCGTCTGTGTCATTCAGGCAATTACTGGTGGCCCCGCTAAGGCGCCACGCGCACTAGAGGCCCCTCCGGACAGGAGAGGTCTCGTCTAACAAGGGGGGAGAAAGTAGAGAGGTAAAGTTTTACGAAAGGTGGCTGTACATCGCTCTTGGAGCCAATCGCCGATCCGGCACACCAGGTGGCCCTCCTTGTCATCTTCCACACTCCGGCTGCTGCGCTTACTGCTCTGTTGGCTTCTCTGCATGCACCGCCCCCCGAAACGCCATCCGACCAATCGCATGGTAGGCGGTTCCGATTGACAGATTGAGGTGTCAGTCAAAGGCAGAGGTGGAGACGGTGAGGAGCCGGTGGGTTGGTTGGTTGGATTTTCCAGATCCCAGCATTTCATAAGGCACACAGCATATATAACGATAGGGATATTGCAAGGGACACGTCAAGACACAAACTGACTTCAAAAACAGAAAAGTAAAAACAGCTACAGGTATGTAAAGAAAACTCGGACATTATCTAAGAGAAGGGCGCTGCAAACGCTCAGAAAGACGACCAAGCCTCCGCTGCCGAGGGGCCGGGCGGCACCGAGAGCCCCGGGCCCCGGCTCCCTTCGCCACTGAGGGTCCCCCTCCCGGGCCCTCCCGGGATGGCTCCAGCCAGCGTGAAGACGCAGCGAGAACGGCGCAAGAAGGTGGCTGTGGCTCAGCCTGGGTCCGCTCGTCCGCAACGGCCAGAGGCCACTCTGGCTCCAGCTGCACAACGCCCGGCCGGCCCTCGCCTGCCTCAGTTCGCACACGCGGCCCTGCGCATGCCCGACAGCGGCCACTCGGAGCCAAGCCGCCACCTGCCCCCACACGGGCCTCCGCGGCCACACTTCCCGTCGCCACCAGAAACGGCTTTCCGCCGGCGGCCCTCATGCCGCCAGCCTCAGCAGGCCGGGCGACCCTCCTACCACGACGGCCCACACGGGCCCCACGCCAGCTTCGGCCCTGGCCTCGGCGCCCACGATCTCACAGGCCGGGCCATCCCGCGCCTCCTGACGACAGAGGGCACCCGGAAGAGAAGAAGCGGGGCCACAGACCTGCGCTGCCATCCTGCAGCAGTGTGTGGCGGCGTGCACAGAGGCCACCAGGCCGCGCTGGGCCGCCCGCGGTCGACCCTCAAGCCATGGCCGCTCAAGGAAGTCACAGGAAAGCGGAGCAGAAGAGAAGCCCGGCCCCTGCACCGGTCCCGCCGCTACTCCTCAGGGGCCTCCTGGCCGGCGGGAGGGAAGAGGGATGGGGAGGAGAGGAGAAGATGGCACGCGACCTGACAGACACACGAGGGGCCCCCGAGTGCAGCGCGGCAGAGATCCAGACCACCTCCACGCTCCCGACACGGCCAGGCCCCGCTCCCGGCGTGTGGCCGGCAACCAGACAAGGCCTGGGGCTGCGGGCCTTCCTGCCATCCGTCCACGCGCCCCGGCACATGGGCGGCCTGTCCCCCTTGTCTTGACCGCCCCTCATGGGAAGAGGCGAGGCTGCAGAGGGCCTGGCTGGAGGTCAGAGGTCAAAGAGGGAAGCTCCCGGCCTGAGCTGACTGACAGGCCTCCCCTACCCGTGTGCACTCCAGCCAGTGCCCATGGCTGCGGCTGTGGCTGTGGGCCATCTCCGGGCGGGAGGGACCTGGCCACGCAGCTCCAGACCACATACCAGCAACCCTATCAGGTTCCCTAAGTGTCCCCGGCCACGCGCACCACATGGCCCGGGGCCCCGAGCAGCGTGGAGACGCAGACAGGCCGGGGGGCCAGCCGGCGCCGGAACCAGAGCCCCTCTCACTGCCGCCGCCATCGGCCAGAAGTCGGAGGGGCCGGGCCCCCCCCGCTCAGCCCTGCACCTGGACCAGACGACACAGACACACACACGCGCACACACACGCACGCACACGCAATGCGCGTGCGCGGGGCTGGCAGTACTCACCCAGACCAGCCAGCCTGAGAGAAGGCTAGAAAGAGATGGGACCTTGAAGCCCCAGCCAGCACACTCTGGCCACCACTCACCGAGGAGGCGCTGCTACAAGACCTGGTGCGGCGTTTGTGGCAGTGGTGGGCGTGCTTGCGGGCCCGGTACGGCTCCCTCTCCCGCGACCGCCGGCGGTGGTGGGAACGTGAAGACCCGTAGCAGTCCTCGCCGAAGGACGGGCTCCGCTCTTCACACCGGTACGTGTCGCTGTCACGGCGCTCCCGGTACCTCCTCTGGTAGGGCAGGCGGTCGTGGCTGCCGGGAGGGGGGTGAGGACATCAGTAAGTTGGGGACCTTCCTCCCACTAGCCCGGGTTTCGCTTCTGGGCAAAAGGCGTGTGGTGAAGCCCCACAAAGAGCTCCCAGGGTGGCCTGCTGGAGTGGAGGCATCGGGTGGGGGTGGGGGTGGGGGGAGAGCGTGTGCATGAAGTCCCGCCTCTGGAACCCGGGCAGCTGGCAGCACCCCTCCAGGGCAGGAGGCTCAGCACCGGGCCTTGGAGGGTCCCAGCGCCCCAGAGCTCCCTGTGGCTGCTAATACAGGATGAGGGGCCGAGCTCCGGAAAGGACAGAGGGTGCGTTCTCAACCCCAACAAGGGAGGCTCAGAAGTCAGCAGGGGAGATGCCGGCCTAGACGCTGGGGAACGTGTCTGGAGAAGGAAGACTCAGGGACAGAGAGAGGGGCAACAGGACGACAGTGAACACAGAGGCCCGGGAACGCAGCTGAGCTCTGGGGGGTGGGAGGGACACAGTAGCAGAGGCGGCAGGCCCCAAAGGAGCCCAGGGCCGCCACAAGCCTCCACACTGTCTCCCCAGCCCTGCCGAGTGATGGAGCCCCTCCCTCCCACCTAGCCCCCTGTCACCTTCGGGACCGAGATCTCCGGGGCGGAGGCTCCCTTCGAGACGGGTACCGCAGTCTCCCTTCGTGGTCCCGACTGTAAGACCTCCTCCTCTTCCATCGGTAGCTCAGGTAGGGGTCTGGCTCAGGGGAGCGGTATCGCTTACAGTGATGCATCTAGGCCGCGGGGAAGAGAGAGCCTTGCTTAATGTGCAGCCGGGCGGCCAGCCACCTCCAGCCACTCCAGCCCCCGGGGCTGCTCGGGGCGCCTAGGCGCTCCTGAAGAAGAGGCCCATTGTTGTGCTTGGGGGCAGCCCCTCCCAGGGGTTTATGAAGCAAAAAAGAGCTCTGAGGTCACACTGGTCAAACAGCACACAACGGGCAACACCCTTCTGTGCCAATGAACAAACAAACAGCTGCCTCCCCAGCACAGCATCGCGGGGCCTGGGGGCCTGAGTGCTCAGGGCACCGGGGTAAGCCAGCACAGGTGCAGAGACAGAAGGGGGGCGGGGCTGGTAAGCACCATCCCAGGAGACCAAGGCCAAGGAGAGAGGAGAGCCTCCTGGGCGCAGCTCCCTCCTGTCTGTGGGGTCCTATGAAGTGACTGGTCTGTCAAGCCAGAGGCCAGAGTCAAAGGGCTGTTGGCAGGGAGCCAACACACAGGAGCAAAGGGTGAAAGCCCGCAAGTTTGAAGCCAAGTTGCCTGGCTGAGGCCCTGAACTAGACCCCACTCAAGGGAGCAAAGACCACAGATCAGTGTGAGAGGCCACAGGCGGAAACGAGAAGACCAGCCCTTGGAGAAGGAGGCGCATAGGGTCTTACAAACATTCCCTAGCCGATCTGAGGGGCTGGCCAAACAGACCTGGGGGTCTGTCCAGCCCCTGCTGCTCCACGCTCTGTCTCAGCACCAGTAAACTGATGCCAGCATCCTCAGAGCACCCTAGTTTCTTGCCCAAGACCCCCGGGGCACCCTCTGACCAGCTGCGGTGCCATGCCAGCCAGTTCCTCGCCTCCAACTGTACCACCGTTGCTAGACCCCCTGTTCCAGTCCCCTCTCCTGTGCTCATCTCAGGAGAAGCCAAAGGGCTAAGTGCCTGGCAAGCTTCTGTGCTCAGAGAGGCAGGCCAAAAGGGCCCTACCTCACTGTCCCTGTTCAGCAGGGACTTAAATCCACCACAGGAAATTGTCATGCTGGATCAGACACCTGCTGAGGAAGATGGCTTTGTGAGGCCAGCTCACTGTTCCACCCACACCCAGAACGCTGGCCAGCCTTCCTCCCAACCCTTTACTTGGCCTTAGCCAACCCCAGTGGTGGTCAGTCCTGGGCTCGCCTGACTAAGCACATTTGGACAAACCCACTGAGGCGGTCCCATCTCACGAGAAGGGTCTGTCAGGAGAGCAGAATGAACCAGCTCCCTGTGGATGGGCAGGGCGGCCAGGCACATCTGACTAAATCCCTGGGAGCTTCTCCATGATCCTGAGAAAATCCCTGCTCTCGATCTCCCCACCAGCAGGTTTCTTCCCCTATCTACCTGGAAGCCCAGGCCCCAGCAACCCCCCTTGGAGGTAAATACTATGTAAAATCACTGACAGCTCCTCAAGAGCTTAAACTGCTCTTCTGTTTTGACGATCAGCTGACTAATGTTTCACTGTTTTCCTGCAATTACCCTGGGTCAGGTGCCCAAGTTATGGAATGAAGGCAGTATCTCACATCTCCCTAAGTGACATGGAAGATGAAACTACTCTGACCTTCAACCTCCTCTTGCAACAAGAGGACAGTAATCTCTTATAGGACTCTGTGAGGATTAAATTATGCCACTTCTTTAACAGTGCCTAGCACACGCCTTTAGGTCAAATGTATTAATGAAGTCAGCTTTTCATTAACAAGGTTAAAAAGATTCCAGACAACACCTCTGGGTCTATGTTAGGGCATAAAAGATACTTTATAAGTCCCTTCCAAGGGGAGAGAGAGCTCTGGGTAGAAAACCCCAAACTAAATCCCAGTGCTGCCACTTACTGGCCTCATGACGCTAGGCCTTGGCCACCATACCTGAAAACTGGGAGACAACACCTCCCAGCCAACTTGGCGATGGAGATGACAGGGATGAGAGCTATAAAGTACCACACAAGGTAATCAGAGAGGAGATAACCTCTGCTTCAACACATTCTAGGCAGGGGAAATATTGGGAATACCAGATGTCCCTCATTATTTTCCCAGCCAAGGCTCTAGATCCCGTTTCTCTTCAATTATCTCTGAACCTCTGAGACCCCAGCAAATAGGTTAAGGAAGCGAAGGGTCACAATTATGTTCAGGAAGGCTCTGCTCTTACACAGCGAAGAAAGAGATAACATAAAGGAAACCAGGCCAAGAATGCCAGCTTTTCTGAGCATAGGCCTAGTTGACTTCTCATTTGCAGTTCCTGGCCAGAGAACTGGGTTGACAAGAAGAGCAGCCAGCCAGGTCGGCATCTGCCCTCCCGGATCCCAGCCACTCCAGCGCCCCATGGTTATTTTTGGCTGACGCTGCCCCACCACTGCAACCTCAAACCTGCCACCTTACAAGCCGCCAACACCGGGTGAAACGCTCCTCCTTTTCAAGGGCATGGAGGAGGGAAGCAGGAAGGCAGCCAACTCCGCCTCGACGGGGGCCTGGCCCAGGCAACTCCCACCCCAGCTCCACACCAGGGCACCCGCACCCGGAACTAAAGCACACAGAGACTCCCGGTCCAGGGAGCAGCCCGGGCATTTGTACTGTCAGCTTGGCCCGGCCCCTCCCCCGGGCTGGAGCGGCTCCATCATCACAACAAAACACGCTGGAGGCCTATGGCCCTCGCTCGCGTCCCTTCCTGAGGCGCCCTGGGTTCTCAGAGATCTGAGCCCCTTCCCCCATAACCGCCGCCAGTAGCGGCGAGGGGCGACCCGGGAGACAGGCGGATGGCCAGCCTGAGCTAGAATCAAACTTCAGGCCGCGCGGGGAGGAGGAGTCTGCAGGCCTCGAGCAGACGGTATGGGAGGGGTCTAAAGGCCCCTCCAGGCTCTCCCAGGTAGGACCCCGACCCCATTCCGCGGGAGGTGCAGGGCAGAAACTGGATCCCTGCAGGGGCCTCAGAAGCCGCTCTGGCTCAGACTCCGACACCGCGGGATCGAGAGGTCGGGGTCTGCGGTGACCGCCCCTCCGGGGGAGAAGCGGCGGGTCAGGGGTGAGAGGTCGCGGCCGCGGCCAGAGGCGGGCCGAGGGGGAGAAAGGAAAGAGACAAGGCTGAGACGGAACCAGGAGCCCGGAGACCCGCACCAGCGCGCCCGTCCCTCCGACTCACCCCCCGCCGCTGCTGCCGCCGCCGCCGCCGCGGGCCTGGGCCCACACTCACCGTCTCCCAGGATCCGGCTGCGGCTAGGCCCCACTCCCCGCTCTGAGCGCCTCTTCCGCTTCCGGCTCCGGCCTCCGCCCGCAACGGCCCCGCCCCTCGCGTGACGCAGCCGTCGCCAGTCCCTGCTCGACCCGGCTCGATGGCCTAGCCGCTCTAGGCCCCGACTCGAAGGCTCTGGAGGACCCGCCTTCGCTGCCCCGGTTCGGGCGGCAGCAGTGGAGACTGGTTCCGGGAGGGCAGAGGGGACGTCCCCGGCCGCGGCCCGCCCCCCGTCGTGTCGCGACGCACGTAGGCCCCAAGCCTCGCCCCGGGTGCCGTCCCCGCCCGCGGGCGCCGGGAGCCGAGAGGTGGAGCCCCGACCCGGCCGGGGGACCCTGCCTCCTCTGTAGATCCGACTCCGCCCATGCCCGCCAACCCTTTCCTGCGCGCGGAGGGGCGGGCATTGTTTCGCTGTTGCCTCAGTGAAAACCCGGCGGACCTTGAGCGTCCGCCTGGCCCGGGGACCCCGGAGGGCGCCAAAGATGACGGAGGCCTGTGTCCTGAGAGGCTCGGGAAGGCCGGCGCCGCTCCCGGTTTCGTGGAAGAAGCAAATGAGACCTTATTCTCTTTGTGTGTGGGGTCTATTAAAGACCTGCGGCACGCCCGCATTCCCGTGGGCATCCAGAACAGTTTCGGGGAAGAACCCCGAGAGCCACGTCGGCGGGGTTTCTGGAGGGACGGGGTCTGGGGGAAAGGAAGTTCCCTTTTCCCTGAGCAGCGCCGTACGCAGACCCGCACTGTCTCAATAAAACGAAAACGCCGCCAAGGGAAAGCCCGCGATCACACCCCGCGGGCCATTTTTCCGAGCCACTCGACGCCCCCTTTCGCCGAGGCGGCGACGGTGGGATCGCTGAAGCCCCTCCCACCCGCTGTCCCGCCCCTAACGGGACCCCACTTTCCACAGGAGAAAGACAAGGTCGGGTCTTTTGGGGGACCTCACGGATTGTGAGCGTTCACGCCCCAGGGCTCTAGCTGGTATCGCCCAGCTAAGCGGGCGGGAGCTGCCTCTGGCCGCCCGCACTCCCCGCCAGCGCCAGAGCGCGAGGGCCGGCGCGTCTTCCCCGGTCCCCGCCCCTCCCCGGACCTCTCTGTGGGGGCGGGCCGCCCGCCCCCGCTCCTCCGGGCCGCGCCCACTCCCCCAATGAGGGCTGGCCACGCCCCTGATGCGAGGCGTCCTCTCCCCGCCCGGGCAGGCGCGCTGCGAGCCGGGCCCCTCCTTCCGGGGTTGAGGCTGTTCCTCTGATCTTAGGTCTCCGGCTCTCGCTTAAACTGAGGTCCGACGGCGTGGCCTGACGGGGGTGCGGCCCCAGTTCTGTTAGCTCCACCACCCCATCCGAAGTAAACAAGCGAAGCTAAGGCAACACAGAGGCTTGCTACGCTCATGTGGCCTCAAGAACGGATCCCGGTCCCCTTCCAACCAAATGCACCCGCCCCCCAAACAAATTCAGAAGGCGCTTCCAGTGTGCTGTGGGTGACCGAGGGCCTGGCTGTCCCCGCCTCTCGGTCCCGCTCCCTTAGGATCCTGCCTCCGGGACCGAAGGTAATGAGTTGCCATTCTTGCCCGGGCCCCCTTGCTGGGCGTGTACGGCCACACCAGCCTGGTTTCACCTCAGGGTTTCATCCACTCAGCGACGCGAAAGGACTGTGTTGTCTCCTCCCCCCCGCCGCTTGGTGTGGCCCGCGGTTTCCATGGCTCCTAGAAGCCAGGACCGCGTGGGCAGCTGAGGGTGGAGGAGCTCGAGGCGGCTCCTGTCTCCAGCCCTGCCCTGGGCGCCGGGCTCCGAGGAGGTAAGTCGGGCGCATCTTCCCACCAGCCCTTCCCACATTGGGAACCCAGGAGTCCCTGCCTCCCGGTAAGGAAGCCGCTCTCATCCTCTGAAATGGAGTAGGAGCCATCTCCCAGCCCCCTCTCCAAAATCTGCAGTTCAGTAGCTCTCCCGTGCCTCAGATTCTACCATTAGAGCTTCCTTCTTTTGTCTTTTTGCTCCCGAAAGAACTCACACCTAGGAGAAAAAGAGGCAGTGTCAGGCACTTGGAAAAAGATCTAACCTGAGGTGAAGTACAGGTAACTCCCCCCACACACACCCTCCCACCTCGTTCCCCCAGTGCTGGAAGCCTGCAACTTTGGCAGCTCAAGCGGAGGGCCACCTCCAGAGGACCCTTGCTCCATATCCCCAGCCCCTTGGGACCCACCTCTTTCCCCAGGCCTCTATCCTTGTGCCCACCAAGCCTCTTCTGTGCGGGCCGAGAACTGCAACACAGTTCAAGGGAACCGGGGAAATGCCCCTGCCCTGAGCCCTGCTACCAGCCACCTGAGACCCACAGGAGCTCCTGGCCCTTGTGACCTCCCTTTTGCCCTGCTGGGCTCCTGGCTCAGCTTGCTGCCTTCTCCAGGCCCCAGCTCCTCTGATCCCCTCCTTGTCCTGCCGCCTGTGCTCTCTTGCTCTCTCTCTCTCTCTCTCTCTCTCTCTCTCTCGCCTGCCACATCCATCTTTGCCTTCTCTAGGGCAATTAATTCACCTTTGAGCTTCAGCTCCAGGGTCACCTATCTGGAAAGCCTTCCTGGGCGCTCCAAGGGAGAATCAGGCTCCCTTTCCCTGTGCTCCCACAGCATTGGGGGCTGTGCCTTCCTCTGCGCAGGCTCTGTAAATTCAGCATCTGGCCCGTGCCACTCCCCACTCCCGCAGACCATGAGCCCTTCCACAACCAAGCCAGGCAGAGTTGGGGTTCTCGGTAAGCGCTGGGGGCGGTCTGTGGGGAGCGCCTGTTTTTAGTGGGAAGACAGAGCACCCAGCTGGAGTGGAGTTGTGGGCGCTGTGCCAGGGTGTGGGAGGTGGGGGCGGCGGACAGTCCTCACAGTCCATCTTGGAGAGGCCTTGTGTGGTGGTGAAATGTGGAGAGAGAGCTTGGAAGCGGCCTCAAGAATGTGGGCGTGGAGTCGAGAGAGAAGAGGTGTCTGCGGGGAGAGGGCTGGTGGGTGGCAGTGCCATCCTGAGCAGGGATTGGGTCTGGGAATGTGAGTGAGCAAGTCAGTTAGTGGGGTGGGGGAGGTCAGCCCAGTGACCCTCTCCTCGGTACTTTCTCCCTGTGCCCACACAGAGCTGGGGCAGAGTGCTTGGTGCCCAGGTGCATGGGTGGGAAGACAGTGGTAGAATTCTGAGGCTCAGTCCCTGGAGGTGAAGTGGGTGAGGCCTAGGGCTCAGGACCCCCATCTTCCAGCTAAAGCTATGGAAGCCAAAGGGGTACTGAAGCAGTAACTTGGTTTAAGGGCTTCTGACCCCCTATATTAGAGCTAAACTACGGTGTCCCCAAAATGTTTCCCTGTCCCCTGCCATTTCCAGACTCCTATACTGGGAAGGGGAGCAGCAGGGATCGGGGAGTGTGGGCCCAGTTTGCAGTGGACCCCCTTCATGACCTGGGGCAACTGACGTCCCCTTTGGAGCTTCAGTTCCCCCTCCTGAAGCCGGGGAGGGCCAGGTGAACTTGGTTGTTCAGCAAAGGGCTGGGCCAGAGTCAGCACTGTGGCTCATAGAAGCTGTTGGAACTGAGAACTATTTAGTGGGGTTGAGGCAGATGCTTATTTGAAATTTCAATCACCAGGGAAAATCCTGAGCCAAGGTGTTGTCAGGTATAGGTGCATGCTCAGCATCAGGGCCTCAGTTTCCATTATCTGAAGGGGCCTCAGAAGCTGGTGCCCTAGCTCCAGGGTCTCCCAACTGAGGCAGAGCCCCATGGACCTGATGCCCCTCCCCCATCTGGTTCCCCTGGCCCTCCTGTCATTTTTGGCCACTGGACTGTGCCTGCTCACTGAGCCCCACTGAAGGGTGCAGGTGAGTGTGGGAAAGGTGGGCATGGCAGCGCCTGAAGCCCAGGCTGAAGCCTGGCTCCTCTTTCCTGGCAGGTGCTCAGACAGAGCCCCAGAGCAGGACGGGAGGCCCTCAGAGAAGGCCCTGTGGATATGGCTGGTAGAGAGCCAGGGCACTGGGCCAAGCTGGCTGGCCACCTGCAGGCCATACTGGAGGCCATGTCCAGCCAGCACAGGTGCTGTGGAGGCAGGGATGTGAGCTGGGACTCTGCAGGGCCCGGAGTGAGCTCCTCATGCAGGAGCAGAAAGTGAGGCGTCCATCCTTCCCTCCCTGATCTTCCTTGCTTATCCATAGGGGACCTCAGGAGGTCCCCTGTGCTAGCAAGGGCCTCTTCCCAGGCTGAGAGCTCCAGAATGCTCAGGGCTGGTGCTCACATCTGGGGTCATGTTCTCAGGAAGGCTTGTCAAGGTCTGGGGCATCCAAAGGAGACAGACGGGAACTGGGTCCCCAACAGGGCTGCTGTGCTGAACAGTGTCATCTCCGCGAATGGCGCCCTCTGGAGGTGTGCAGTGCATTGTTTGATGTGGCTCGAGGTGCTGGTTGGAGGCAAAGGAAGGACCGGGGGCCCTGTGGCCCCCCGAGGGAGAGTGGGAGGGAGAGGCTGGTTTTAGCTCAGTGGACAGAACAGTTTCCTTCAAGGCCCAGTTGCCCCTGGTGAAAGCTGCAGTCCCCAGGGAGAGAGGAAGGTGAAGGTTCATGCAAGCTGAAGGTTCTAGGGGAGGCACCCAGCACCCCTGCCCCATGTGAGGGTGTGGTGGGCAGGGCCACCTTGTGATAGCCTAGGTACCTAAGCCTTTAGTGACCTGGGGGTCTCAGCCCATAGCTGCCCCTCCTAAAGCTCCTGCTCCATACGGTGTCTGGGGTGACCCTGGGGACTCACCCGACAGCCTGTCTGCTCCTGCCTCCCAGCTCTCTAGCATTCCACGACAGTGTCCCTGGTCCTCTTGCTGGAGCTCCAAAGCCATCAGCAGCTGGTGTTTCAGGTTCAGCTAGAGGTGGAGGGTCACACATCTGGAGCCCGTAGTGATAATAGCTGGGCACCCCCTTGGAGCTGTGTCCCTTGTGTACAAGCCAGGGCACGGGTCCGTGCTGGGCTGGCAGCTGGGCCCCTGGCTGGGGTTTTCACAGCTGGTGGAGCCAGCCTGCTTTATCAGAATCTGCAGGCACTGCTGTGCCTGGGGGCAGGGACGGCCCTCTCCAGGGGCTCAGTGCTGCCTTCAGCCCTCCCCCCAGCAGGTGGAATGCTCCCTGGCCTACCTGGAGCAGGAGTCCCAGGGACAGGAGTGGAGGAGGCCAGACCAGGACGCAGAAGACAAATCAGGGTGCCCAGTTGTGGGGGAGGGGCCTAGGGGAAGAGGTCGTCCGGTAGGATCCTCTACTGCAGACAGAAGTGGAAAAGGCCAGCCGTGTTTGAACCAGAGGAGCCAACAGCCCCTTGGCCCAGAGCACTCCTCTGGGTGCGTGGCAGGGCCCTGAATACTGGCCCTGCCTTATACTTCATTCTCTGGTCTTCATTCTTGGAGCAGCAGCTGGGGAGGGAGGGCAGTGCAAAGATTTCTGTGCAGCCCAGAGAGGAACACCCCCACCCCCCAATATTTGGGAAGACACTGCCATTACCCAGCCGACTCCCCTCCTGGTTCAGATGGGAAAACAAAGCCCCGAGGGTGGGGAAGAACTCGTTCAGCGTCAAAACAGTGTGATCTGGAGGCTGTGAGGAGACCCTGGGATGTGTACTTGCAGGAGGTGCTGGTGTCAGGCCTGCAGGGCCGGGAGCAGAGGTGGGATGGTGACAGGGCCCAGGCACTTCAGGGCCTGGGTGGAGTCTTAATCCCTGCCCAGGCTCGGGATGCGACCTTGCTGCAGAGCAGCTGCTGATGCTCACCCAGGTGGCCCAAGACAGCCGGCAGGGTCAGCCCCACAGGGAGTCCAGGGTGCCAACTGAGCCAGCCTGTGCCCACCTATGCCAGGGGGCAGAGAAGCAGGGGAGTCTAGACCCTGTCCTTGGGGGATTCCGAAGGCAGGTGAGGAGCTCTAGGGACACCATGGGAAAGAGAATGTCCAGGAGGGACAGATGGAGCAGGGCCTCGACATAGCACAGCTCTAGCACACGCCATTCACCCTGTGGTCCCAGAAAAAGAGCACCCTTTGGTAATGTGCATCCTGGTACTGTCCAGTGTTAAACTATCTGGTCCAGAACCAAAGCCTGGAGTTCAGAGAAGCCTCTGTGGGCTGGGGTCGGAGGAGGCCTCCTGGAAGAGTTGCGTCCCAGAGTTTGAGGAAAGCAGGGGCTCTGGTGGCAGCTAGCCTGAGCAGACTGATCCCAGCCACATGAGCCCCACAGTCCTGGTGGATGCTAAGCCATGACTGGGTGGAGTGGGGGGTCTTCACAGGTGAACAGGAGGCCTGGAAGAGCTAGGCGGAAGTGCCAATGACCAGTGGTCCGCTTAGAGCAGCCGTCCTAGCGGCCTCAAGGAGAGCAGGTGTCAGAGGGCCCCGTGCAGGCCCCAGAGGCAGAGCCCCAAGGCCGCGTGCGGGTAGGGCAGTATTGCCATCAGTGCTGGGGGTGGCCCCTGGCCAGGAGACATGGCAAGTGGCTGCTCAGGCCCACCCTCAGGTTGTCCAAGCTGGAGTGGGTGTCCTGCTTCCACACTGGGTGAGATGACCCTGTAGACAGGAGGTGGGCTAGCCTGTCTCCAGCTGGAATAGTCCAGAGCCCCAAACCCTGAACCATGGGGCCAAAGCCAGGCTCCCTTCCCCAGGTATCAACACTCCTGGTTGTCCCATTTTGGCCCTTTTAGGGGAGCATGTGGGAAATCTTAAAGCTTCAACAAGTCCTGTCTCAGGCGCCTGGGTGGCTCAGATGGTTAAGTGTCTCCCTTCAGCTCAGGTCATGATCCCAGGGTCCTGGGATTGAGTTCCGCGTCGGGCTCCCTGCTAGCCTGCTTCTCCTTCTCTCGCTCCCCCTGCTTGTGCTCTCTCTCTCTGTCAAATAAATAAATAAATAAATAAAACCTTAAAAAAAACAAGTCCTGTCTCTGCCACACATGGCCAAGGGGTGGTACTGCTGGCCCAGGGCCAGCCTGGTGGGGCGGCGGGAGGTGAGATGATCTTAGCTGCTGGGCTGCTAAGGATGTCAGGATGCTTGGGAGTGGAAGTGCCCAGGACAGGGGCTCTGTGTGTGTAGGGGCCATGGAGGAGGCATCTCTGCCCCAGTCCCCATCCCAGCCAGTGAGACATAGTGAGGACATCTGTGCAACTTGGAAAGAAACCATTGAAAATGGGTTGGGGCTATCTGGGGCCCATGCAGTGTTTAGACTGCTCCGTTTCTACTAGCACCCTCCAGGCCCAGGAGGTACCAGTGCCCCTGCAGGGAAAGCTAGAGGAAGAATCACATCAGAAGGTGGCCGCGTCCTGGAAGGCACGCAAGCACGAGGTGGCATTTGCCCTGAACTTTAAAGAGGAGCTGCAGAGCTGCCAGAGATAGAGTGAGGCCTGGCATCCTCCCGCTGGGGGCCCTCTGTCTGCCTTCCTCCCCCTCCCCACAGCCCCTCCTCACTCTCTTCCCCGCTGCCCAGTCTTCCCTACTGCAGGCCAGTTAGTCTCTTCCTGCTCTTAGGATGGCCCCTAGCTTTACCCCTACACTACCTTTCTCCTGCTTCTTCCTCATTATGCTCCACCCAGCCACCCAACCATCCACCCACCCATCCATCCATCCATCCATTTAGCATACATTCTCTGAACAGCCACTACATGTCTGGCCCTTTCCTGTGCAAAGGAGAACCATAGTCAGATTGGACGACTCCTTGTCCCCAAAAGCTTGTGGTTTGGGGCCACACAATCATCAAGTGAGCAATTACAATATGCCCGCTGAGGGGAGAGGCACTGTGGGAGTTGGGGAGGGGGGCAGCAGATGGGTACATCCTCCGCATTGAGGGGATTTCTGAGCCTCTGAACTGTCATGGAAGGATGAACAGGCAAAGGAACGAAGGGCATTTCAGCAAGAGGGAGGAGCACCTGCAAAGGCCCAAAGATGAGAGGTGTGGAGGTGGGGCAGTGCTGTGAGCAGTCCCCGACCCCGCTGAGAAGTAGAGGGGGTGAAGGGGTGAAATATGCAACAGGCCAGAGCAAGGGGGGCAGAGCAAGGGCTGGGGTGTCTGGGGCCCTGTCCACCAGACTTGAACTCCAGTTTGGGGACCACCTCCTTCTGGCTGGTGCCCTCCCTTAGCCTCCAGGGCAAATGTTTGTGTGCACAAGCAGACAGACTGGTGGACACACACCCACCCACACACACCCCCAGAGACACACACATGCTCCCAGATGTGCACACACAGACACAGAGAAACAGAGTCAGCAAGGAGGTGGCTGGGAGATGCAGGGATGGAGAGTTGCGAGGACCCAGGATGGGGGTGTGTTCTGCCGCAGTGAGGCTGATCTGTTGATCCGGCTGGAAGGAGTGTGAGAGAAGGTCTCGGTAGCCTTGGGCCTCGTAAAATGTGGGATTGGTCTGAATCAGTGTATCTTGAACTGGGGTCCAGAGCTTTGCTCTGAGAGGACTGTTAGTTCCTCAAGGAAGCAAATTTGCAGTGATTGTCTGCAATTGTGCATTTGTACAGAAAGAAATCTCAAGTTTTTGTCTGTTTCTCGACCCAGACCCCTGAGGGTCGGGGGTTGTCTCCTCAGGGCCTGGAGGGAGACTCTACGCTTTCTGGGGTGTGCACACTAGTCAAGACGGGGGTTTGCAGTGGACAACGTCAGTGAGAAAGCAGGGCTCACAGTGCCGGAGGGTGAGCAGTGCTGCGGGAGACCTTCTCTCCGCCTCAGGGCGGATTCAGGTGCCCAGAAGGAAGTGGTGCAGGGTGGGCCCTATGCAAACAACATGCAAAGGATCTGTAAACCAGTGTCTGTGGGCCCCAACTCTAGGGCCTTCCAGTCCCCAGGGAGGCCTGCCCAGGACTCACCTTCTGTGAGCAAGTGGGTGCCCTGGGCTCTGCGCCTGTCCAGGGAGGGTGGCCTAGAATTCCGTGCTGGGTCATGGGCAGGGGTCCTGTGGGGAGTAACCGATTGGTCAAAGTCACAGTAGGGCAGAGGCTCTCGGGGAGACTGGGCAACAGCTAGCTGGCAAGAGGGTGGAGGGGCTCCCAGGGCCTCTAGCACCCTCCACCTCCATCCCATCCCCCACCTCAAGCTCCTTCTATACTGACCCCTTCTGGGGCTTCACCTCAGTCTGTCTTCCTCCAATCCTGATCCCAGGATCCTGTGCTCTTCACTGTCCCCACATTAGTGGTTAAGATTGTGGGCTCCGGAGCCTGAACACCGGGCACAAATCCTGCCTCCACAGTCTACTCGCTACGTGACCTTGGGCATGTTACTCTCCCTCTCTGGGCCTCATCTGTAAACAAACAAGGAAACAGACACCAAGAACAGTTCCAGTTCTCCAGCCCCTGAGTAGGAGGGTTCAATCCGGCAAGCACGGAAAAGGCTCAGAGCCGGGTCGGCATGCAGTCATGAAAGTTTCGCTCCTATCAGTGCACGCTTCCCGCTGCTGCAGGCAAGGCTGCCTGGAGGCGAGAGGCCCGCTTCCAGTCAGGGTCCTGCTGGGGCCAGGGACCTGCCGCCCGGGGTTCCATCTCAGCCCCCTTGTGTGGTAGTGTGCCGGCAGGGGTGGTTCCGTCTGGGGGCTTGGGGGGGGGGGGGGGGGGCACCTGTGCCTGCCTCTCCCGGGCTTCTGGTGGCTGCAGTCCCTGCTGTTCCTTGGCTTGTGGAAGCATCACCCCAACCTCTGCCTTGCTGTTCACAAGGCGCTCTCCGTGTGTGTGTGTGTGTGTGTGTGTGTGTGTGTGTGTGTGTGTGTGTGTGTCCAAATTTCCCTTTTAGAAGAACACCCGTCAGATTAGATTAGGGCTCTCTAATGGCTTCATGTCACCTTGATTACCTCTGCAAAGACCTTATCTCTAAATAAGGTCACATTCTGAGGTACTAGGGGTAAAACACAAACATAGCTTTTTGGGGGGAGTATACAGTTCAACCCATAATGCCTCTCAATTTGCTTCCGGCTACCTTCCTGTTGGGTGGGCTGGGTATGTCTTGAGATCTTGGGGACCCAGCTGTTCTGTCTCGCTCTTCCCCTTATTTAACCCCAGGCCCCTGACACGGCTGTAGAAAGACTGGAGGGGCCACAGGAGGGGCCGCTGTGAGGAGGGGTGGGCACTGCTCAGTAAGCCCCCAGGCAGGCTAGGGTCCAGGCTGGAGATCGAGCTCCTGTCTACAGGCCAGGCCCTGCCCAGACCCAAGAGCCTGTGTGTGTTTATGGGCACAAGAGGATGGGGTGGGGGTCCCCTCAGATGGACTAGTGACAGAGCAAGATGCAGGCTCTGGGGAAGAAAAACCAGATGGCTGCCAGGATCTAGAGGTGGAAGGTGGGGAGGAGCTGGAGGCTGCCTGTGGTGCCCTCAGGTCCGCATGGCCCAGGCCTGCTCATAGCCCAGAACAAGAAGGAGAACCTGGACAGTCCGATCAGCCTAGAAGGGAGGCCAGTGTCCCTGAGTACTAACCACCCAGCCTCTGCCCACAGGTGCAGGCCATGGCAGAGCCCCCGGCAAGCCCCTAGAGTCTGCACAGGGCAGGTGTGCTCCACTCCACCCTCAGCCCCCCTGAGGCCCAGGGACCAGACTGTCACCTGCTGAGTGGGCACCAGGCAAGCCCACTCCCCTCAGCCCCCAGCCACACAGACTGTGGGGGAGGCCCCTGTGGAATCCTCCCTGGGCCTCTCAGGCGGGGAGGACAGGGTTCCTAAGGACACAGAAAAGGCTGTGGCCTGGTGGCCCTGGCTATCTTGGCTCAGCTCTTCATCTGTACACTGGGAGTGGTGTCGGCAGTACTCAGGGGTTCTGATCCTCACTGATCCCATGACCCTGTTCGGTTTACCCAGTGGGTCACACTATGTCCAACTCTTAAGAATTGGGCCTGTGCCCGATCTGAGGGGCCCCCTGACCTTGGGTGGGCTAATGATGCTCAGAATGGGGTGGGGATGAAGGGACAGATCTTGCTGTCCCACCAGGCCCCAGGAGCTGCCAGAGCCAAAGCTGGCAAAGGAGCCAAGTAGTGTTGAGGGTGGGCACCACCAGAGGTAGAGGGGAGAGCTCGGGGGCAGGCAGGGCAGGAGCTGCTCCAGCTCCCACAGGAGGTAAAAGCTTGGTTGGGGTCCTGGCTGCCCTCCCTCAGATCAAGGTGGGGGTAGGGCTAGAGATGGGGCCTCCCAGGCAAAGGAGAAGACTCTGATCCACCTTTGCTGTGTGGACTGAGCCCTCTAAGACCACACTGGGCCCTGGTAACCAGGGACTGGAGGAGCTGAGACCAAGGCCACCTGGGGAGGTGAAGGCAGGACTGAATTCAGGAGGCACAGAGGGTAGGGTGCCTGGCCTGTTGGACCCAGGGAGTTGGGATCAGGGTGTGCTCCCTGAGGGTCAAGAGCAGAGCCTAGGGGCGCCTGGGTGGCTCAGTCGTTAAGCGTCTGCCTTCGGCTCGGGTCATGATGCCAGGGTCCTGGGATCGAGCCCCGCGTCGGGCTCCCTGCTCCGCGGGAAGCCTGCTTCTCCCTCTCCCACTCCCCCTGCTTGTGGTTCCCTCTCTCGCTGTGTCTCTCTCTGTCAAATAAATAAAAAATTCACCAAAAACAAAAAAAACAAGAGGGCCTTTTCCATCCCAGGCTGGAGCACCAGGTGGTCTTGCTCCTGCACTGTGGCTCGCCAATCAATGCAAAGTGCATCAGGGCTAAGGCTTTGCAGGCCAGGGACCTGCATGTGGGGAGACGGGAGGATCTGGAGATGGGGAGGGTTTGGAAATCTGGCCTGCCCTCAAGAGCCTTTAGGCTGGGTGGTATAGCGAATAGGGAGCCCTGAGGGACTATCACCCATTTGCATTTTTGGATTCGGGGGAGTTTGTAGTCACGTGTACGGCTAGAGGAGCAGAATGAGGCCATCCTGCTCCCTCCCCCAAGTGCTGTTCTATCAGCCTCTCCCAGCACCTGACGGCCATTACGCCCCTTGTTTGGGTCAAGGCAGAGTCCCAGGCAGGCCCCTGTGAGAATGGGGCTCTGAAACCAGAGTGGGGTGATGTCCTGAAGCACCAGATCAGCTTAGGAGCCAATGACCCCCTCTCCCCGCCCCCCCTTTCCCAGCATTCCCTGAAGGAGGTGGGCTTGGAGCTGGCCCGGATGGGTGCTGAGCTCCAGAAAATCTGGGACCCAGAGCTGGAGGGGCTCAGCAGGTGGCCCCAGAGGGTGCCCAGAACCTGGTGTTCAGCACCCCTCCGCCTCTGTGCTTCTGCCAGGCCTGCATGCCCAGGAGGCCCATGGTCCCCTACGCCCAATGCCCCGTGCCCCTGACCTGCCCTTCCCAGACTTGGTCAAGCCCCTCCCCACCTCTCACTGCCTCTTTCCCCCCTCCCCAAGGTGGCAGAGAGCCGTGCCAAGAAGCTGGGGCTAGAGCAGCAGTGGTAGAAAAGTGAGGACCACGGAGTGAGGGGCACCCGGATCTGAGGGGTCTGCAGGGAGGAACCCCCTTCCCTCGCAGAGGGGCTCACAACTCTTCCCCCTCCCATGAGGTTTTGGGATAGACAGGAGAGGGCACCTGGGACATGCTAAGAGAGCCCTGTCATCCCCTGGGTAGGGGGGACACAGTGCCAGGCCTGGGGCTTGATGTATCTCCTGGTCTGCCTTCTCCTCTCTGAGGAGGGGAGCACAGGGGAAGCAGGAGGGGCATGGCGAGGAGTTAGGACATCTGGGTTCCTGGGCCTGGGGTCACAAATGAAAGGAGGGTGGCCTTCAGAGCCAAGAAGTCCTGTGTTCGCATCAGCTCTACCACGGACCAGCTCAGTGAGCAATGAGCAAGTCTGCCTTCTCAAGGCCTCAGTCTCCTCATCTGTAAAATGGGGATACCACCTTACCTACCTCAGAGGATGATGTGAGGATTACATGAGATAGTGCACCTGGCTCAGTGCCTGCTGCCTGGTCCCCCTGAGTTTCCCCTGGGGGTCCAGTTAGGGTGAGTCAGTACTAAAGTCATAAAACCATGGAGGTGTGCCCAAGACCACCTGCATATAGGGCTTTAGTCATAAAGTCTATTTATCCAGTATTTCATCAACAAGGCCTTATTTACAATTAATAAACTCAGGAAACAATGTGCTGTAATATGCAGTTGCCAATGATAGACAATGTAGCATGTTCCACTGCCTGGAGCAGCTCCTGCTTTACGCTTGAATACCATGGAGGTCCTCATCTTTTCTGACCCTGCATGGAGGAGCCTCATGGGGTGTGGACTCCTATCTTTTGCCTCAACTGCTCTCTGGGGACCCCTTAGAGAATGGGGTCAACTCCAAGAGTTCTGACCCTCAGGCTGAGAACAGGGTCCCCAGAGGGTAGGAGCCACTGCAGCTCTGAGCATCAGTGCTCTAGCACCGGGAGGGCAGGAACCTCCAGCCACCTCTCAACCCCTAAAGGTAACAGCTGGGGACTCTCCAGAGAAGGAAACAGAGTGACCCCTGCCTCCCTGAGACCCAGGCCCAGTTTCTCTCTCTGCCTGTCTCCCCATCTGCAAGCTGGGGGTGGGGGTGGAAACAGGCCCTGAGGGTCCTTCCAGCTTGGGCCTTTGCTGGTTCTGAATGGATTCCTCAGCTTGCCTCCCCTCTCCTGGGTAGAGCTGGAGTTACTCCACACCTGGTACCTGCCCTGCCTCTCTGCCCTCTGTGGGCTCGGCTGCTGCTTCATCTGTCCCTAGATGTCAGACAAAGCCCAAGAGCCAGGGAGGAGAGGTCTGAGAAAACCTGGCAACCAGGGCAGCGCCCCGACTGGGGGAGAAAGGTGGTGTGGAGACTGAGGCCTAGAGCGTCACTCTGCCACACGAGACTGAGGTCTGCCCTTTGCCCCCAGTGAGCTGACAGCAGACGGACAGGCTTTAGGAACCAAGGGTGGGCAAGGACTCCCTGGGGAGAAGGGAGGCCTGTATGGCTATGTCTTTAGCCCCCCATGCCAGGGTTTCTGTCAGGCCTGAGCCACGGGACCTGTCACAGGTGGCTGCAGTCAGAGGCCTCCCTGTCCCCTGCCTGCCTTAGAGGGCCTGAAATGCCCTTGTTGGCACAAGGTTCCTGACTCTCAGTGGATGAGGCCACCTGCCCTTTCCCAGGGGGGGCCCTGTGGCTAGGAGTAGAGCTGGGCAGGGAGTGGCCAGTGGGGTTCTGG